CAATACTCATTTTATTATGGTCGCCTTGGGTTTCTTGGGAAACTTGATGGCTCCCTCAGTTGGCCTATCAATTTGCCTCTATTCTGCTTTCACCTCCCAGGTAGCTTTTCCTTCCCCTTTCTTAGCCCACGTCATGTTGATCATGTTTATTGGGACTTCTAGGAAGGGGTCAGTGTTAATCATCATGTTGGCCTACGGTTTCTCCAGCAACAACTTTCCTTTTACTATAAGGTCTTGTACCTAATCCCTGAACTGGACACAATTGGTTATGGAGTGATTGAAAGTGTAATGCAGCTTGCAATACTTTTTCCCTCTCAGTTCTTCAGGGTTGGGTAGCTTTTTTGGCACTGTCGGGCACGATGACTCTTACCCAAACCAGCTTCTCAGACCTTAGTTAAGTCAAAGGAATAACTCTGGTGCTTGGGGGGTTTCATGGGGACAAATCCACCATCGTTCATGATCACCTTCTAGTCCTTAACTAGCTGTACTAACCCCTTTATAGTTAATGGTTTGAATTGGTTACCATTCCCTTTGACTTCCCATATGAGGTCGGGCTTTTTAAAACAGCTAGTTCTTGTAAGGATGGAACGTTCTTTGTGAAGGAAATTTTGTGAAAAACATGTTCAATGGCATGAAATTAACAATTAAAGGTGGAATCATACTTGTATGCACTCAAAAACAAAACATTATCCATGAAATTCAAAGCCTAGTAGAAGGGTGAACCAAGACTCGTCTCAAAACAAAGTGAGTTGAGAAACTTTATACCTTTGTTGATTCCTCTTTGCATAAGCAAAAGCTAATCACCCAAGGAGAGGGCATTCATTCCTTACTTCTTAGCTCCATGGATTTCTTGGATAAGGATGGTTGAAAGGATTCTCCAAGTTCCCAAAGTTGAGAACCTCTAAGTCTCCACACCAAGGTAGGACTTCAAGAAGAGATGAGTGACCTAGTGGAAGTAAGATTGTTAGCTAAAATCCTCTAGGGTGGCCGGCCTCTTAGAGAGAAAAGGGAGCTTGTGTTCTCATCTTTTCTCCCAAAAGAAACCCCCAAGGATGAAATGGCTATAAAGTTGCCTTTATACTACCTCACAATGGAGTGGCAAACATGCAATTAAGCCAAGTTCACTACCCCTCTCTATATGACTGGTTTTGCCAAGCCTTTGGGCTGTTTTGGGCTTCTTGAATTTTGTTTGTTAAGTTGTCATACAACTTAAGCTAATGGGCTTGACGATTCGAAGTCCAATTTGGGCTTTAAGGCCCAAAACTAACTCAAGGTTTAAAACGAACTTATTCGTTTGATTAATTAACATATTAATTAATTCTTGCCATAAACAATTAAACCATTTAATTGTCCTTACTCATCTCCTTCAAATCCTTCAAGCACTACCTTACACGGTGTGCGATCCATTAGATTCCTTTTAGCAAGGCAGTGGACGATTAGAACTCTTTCAAATCGATTGTGAATTGAAACTTACTTTCAATTCTCCCTTTAGTGATTATACCCGTTTAGGGCTTCCACAAACCATGAGTGACACCTAGCAGTATGTCATGGTTACCCAAGCTAATCAGAAGAGATGGAGAACCTATTCAGTTTAGGATTACAATGCAATACGGTCTTTCTCTAATACAATACTCTTGACCACATTTTTTGGTTTGATAGTTTATTCATGTCTACTATCCAATGTGATTCATTTACTTATATGATTACCTTGAATTTATCATAGAGTATTCTCCCTCAAACAGTTTGAAGGTTAGAGATCCCTTGTTGCGCATTCACTTGCCTTCATGGCTAAGTGGCTTAACCCCAACTATGTCGTGGACACCCTCGGATGGAGTGACTTTAACAAAGTTAAAGATCAAGGACCTAACCACAAGACAACTATGATGCCTCAGGTCAAAGGACTACTTTGCATTATCCCAACCATGAGTTCTCATGTGACATGAGTATAAGAACTCCTTGTTGATCGCGTTCAGTGAACTCATTCTCTATTGAGCACCTACGTACTTGTCTTGGTGTCAATCACACCAATAACTTGAGACCAGTCACTCTCCCTAAGAGAAGACATAGCATGTACTGATCTTAACGGACTGTCAATGCCCAATTGGCAATCCTATGATCAGAAACGTTTAGGATATGTATACGAAAGAGAATGGTCTCATGAATCTAACTTCTTTCGATCGCATTCTCCCAATTACATATTCCTTGGACTTATGGTTTAAGCATATAACATTTATATGAGACGGCTTCAAATAATAATCTTTGCCCTTTAAATTAAACTATATTAGTTTAACATGTGAAATGTCCGTAGAGTATCATCATATGATTGGTTTTAGGGCACATTTCCAACACTTTGGGGGCTCTGTTATGTTTAATTTTGGTAGAGACTGAGGTAGCATGTACTCTATGTTCCACCTGAAGGTTTTCTCCTTCCTTCTTCTTCTTGGCATACAAGACTAATGTGATCCCACCGGGTGTACAAACACTATGTTTGGGCGAAGATTTCTCCGCAGAGGGCTCCTCGACTCTCATCACAGCTCCCCAAGGGATTGGCTCTTGCTTGCTAATGTACTACAAGAAGAGGATAAAGTTAGTTTTGAAAGGTGCCTTTGTAAGGCCTTAGGTTTAGGCCTTGAGGCTCACAATCAAAACTAACCAAGTGTTAGGCGTGCCACTGCTATCTTAGTATAGCAAATGTAGAACAAGTGTGTTTTAGTCGATTACTTACGCCCCAAGTTACTCGGACTTCTTGTTATCAAAGGATCGTCGTGGATGGGTTAAGTACACATTAAGTTCTTTTCCTTGCCTTATGACCAAGGACTTTCAGTTCATAGTCATGTATGTTTGAGGGAGGCGAGTCCAAATCCCCTTAAGTCATCTACTCAGTTCTTGATTGGTTTTAAATAAAACGTGTTCATTAAGGTGACCAGATCTAGGTACAAATGCGACTCTTAAAGTAGAAAAACGATGGATATGACTTGAATACATGATGGAGAATAGATTAAGTAATAGATCTATTAACTTACAAAACAAACAAAGAGCTTTGAGCAAGATTTCACCTTGTTGGGCAAGGTTGAACTTCTTGCAATCACTTCTTTTTTTAGTTTACAAGGTTTATATGCTAAGAAAGGATGGATGGTAAACAAGTTTACATGAGGGAATTGATACTACGCCACTTAGGGTGATAGCAGAGCTTCTAAACTAAACAAAAGATGGCTTTTGTGGGGATTGATCCTAAAAAAGATTGTGATATGGGCTGATTGTAGCTTTTTAGATGCAAATCTGGCTTGAGAGCAGAGTTTGTATGTTTGTTTGTTTGATTGGTTGAGTGTCCTTGTCCCTGGGGCCTTCTCCTTCTTTTATAGGCAGATTAGCCCAACTATTGTAGCTTTGCTCTTGCTCGAAATTAATTGAAGGGTAGTAAGTCATCAGCTTTTTACTTGTATTGCCACTAAAACGTGATTTTTGGCTGATTGTGGGCTAGTCCCCATCACTTGACTTTAAATCATAGGCACATGGCATAGGCATTAATGAGAATTCGCCAATTTGTCTGTGGGCCTGATGCTGGGCTTCGGGCAAGCCTTCCTTTAATTGGTGGCTTTGGGCTCCCACACACTTGCAGCCCAAACTTTAAATATTAACCCAAACAGCACTATAACCTACTTTTGGTTTCACACGTCACCATTCAACAGTTTGTAGTAGATCATGACCCGATTTCTTTTCTCCGCCGTGTAAAGCTTGTTTTTGTTCTGTTATGTTCAGTTTACAAGCTGTGTTAGTTGATGTTGCTACACATTCAATAAGATGATGGACATTGGTCTATTTATCAATTACTTTATTCAATGAAACAATATGTTCTCTTACATCGGACAAAGGTTTTATGAAGTACAATACAAGCAAATACAATGACTTTTAGGGTGCGTTTGTTGCACCGGACTATCTCGGACTAGACTAGCTTCTAGGATTAAACTGGACTAGCTTAGACTAGACTAAGCTGGACTGACTTGGTGAAACGTTTGGTGCAGTGTCGGACTAACAAACAGGATAATTAACAAACTCTAATATTATATTATTTAATCCATAATTATTAACATTTTATTTTTATCCTTTTTTTTATGGGAATTTTAACGAAAAGCACCTGGTACTGTTCACTTTAACGAAAAACCACATTTTTACAATAAAAAGTCAATCCTGGTACTATTCACTTTACCCTTTATTTTGTCCTTATCATTAAAACTCAAAGTTTTCAAGCCATTTTCATTAGTTTTCCTTTTTTTTATCCCTCTATTCCTCCCCTATTGCCCCATTCTTTCCCTATTTTTCTTCCTTTTCCGTTCCAATCTCTTCATCCCCAGATTAAACCTCTCGATTCTAGCCTCTCTCTGCTCCCTTCCTCCCTCTCGATTTCAGTCTCTATCTCTCTTTAGTTTTGCGCTAGTCGAATGGAACCCTGACAACTCCATTTTTTCTAATGAGTTGCAGGTTTCTCGATGGGTTTTCCAACTAAGCCTCGTCGGATTAGATGGGGTTTGCACCACTAACAAACTCTTCCCAATCTCTGGTTCCATATTCGAGCTTTGCATGCTCAATCTGTCATGGATTTGAAAAAAACCCAAACCGGCCGAGACTTCGAGGCCATTTTCCGACCACCTCCGACCACCTTTTGGCCTCGATTCAGGTAAAATCGTAATCCCCTCACTCCCATCTTCAATTTGGTATTTTATATGAAAATTGGTTATGAAAAGCATCCCATGGTTTTCGAGGGTGAGTGGTCGAGGAGCAAGGCAAGGATAGAAGGGATAGTCTGAGCTAGTCCCATGGTTTTCAAGGGGTTTCATTAAGACCAGCTAATCCCGGATTTAGTCTAGGCGAGTGAGACTTGGTCTCATTAAACCTAGTCCCTGTTAGGAGCAAACATGGGATTGGACTAATCCTTAGTCCTGTCCAGTCCAGTACACTTTAGTGAGGGCAAACAAACGCCCCCTGTACAAGGTGCCTAACAAGATGCGAATCAGTCTAATCATTTCCTTTATCAACGAAACAATGTTTTCACTCTTATAAAAACAGATATGATGACTCTTCTGGTTATACAAAGTGCCTTTGAATTCAACTATACTTTTTGACTTCAAGCATGTTTTGTTGTTGATATCAGACCTTGCTGGTGACGAAATCGTTGCCCGTTGATTCCCATATGGTGGTTCCGTCACAAGTGCAAAGCCTTTTGTAGTTCTCGCCAGCTCCAGCACTTCTAGCAATCACAGCAGCCGCGATACCAGAGGCCGACTTATCAGCAGTTTCATATATCGCTATTGACCTCCCAATAAGATCAGCAACTCTCAGCTTCTCTTTGACCCCAGAGAAGAAGGCATTACCACTCTCATCACTTTCCAGTGTTCCCAGGTCACCAAGCGGCTGAATATCATCATTAAGCATAAAAACGACTCACAAAATGCCATTCAAACTCAATGTGAATGACAAGCCAGCAATATAAAACAAAGCAGAAATTACATAAAACAGGAAGCGAGAGATCATTACCGATGGCTGAAAATCTAACAGAAGATTAGCTTAAGAGGTTAAAAGAAACTGGAGGACGGGATAACTGGAGGGTTCACAATACCATCTTTTAATTGCAACAGATACATATAGGCAAAGCAGAAAGCAGTAGAAAGCATTGAATTTGTAATCAATAAATGAGACCACAGAAACTAATGTATTTCCCCAAGAACGTATCGTGGATGAACTGAAAATAGAGTAATAAATAAATCTTTAAACAGGTCTTGGGAAATATATACAGGCATGCAAACTTCTTTAACAAGAAGCAATTGATACACAGCAACAGAACAAACATAATAGAGTCGATAACCAATACAACAAATGCAACTAAGTCCTAATTATTAAAACATTCTTTTCTTGTTTGTGCCTCAAATAGAATAATAGAAACCCTAGACCATTAATCTAAATGTTTACTGGCAAGAGTTTCACTAATTGTTTTTACTGATGTATATACGACTGAGTCAGATAATTAGTTACTAGGAAAAATCACCTAGATGTCAGAGAGAAGTTTAATATCAAAGCGAACCTCGTTTGCTTCATTTGATGGGTTAAATACTTTTCCAGTGCTTTTAGTTCCTTCTGTTAAATCACCAAATTCATTGATCGACCAACCATGTTTCCCAGGAGTCAACCCACTAAAGTTGGCCTCGATCCTAGCCAATTCCATATTCACCTGAGCTAAACGAACCACACCAAACACATCTGGACCTTTAAATTCAGAAACAGCCGCAGAAACCAAAAAATCTGTACACCATGAAAAAAAATATACAAACTATGTCAGCAACATAAACTTTCACAATTACTTAAAAATTTTGAGCACTGAACCAAAATATGATTCAACATGCAATGATTTCTTCTGAAGTAGAAACAGGATTTATATCATTTAAACGTTAAATGCTTAAACTCATGTTAACTGTTGGCAAATGAGTTCGTTTTTTAGTGTTCAACTCAAACATTTTACAAACGGTAAAATTTGGCATTTTATTCACCAACTATACTCAAATCACAGTCCTGTTTGTTCACGTTGATGCAGCTCTACATGCTTGAATGATTGGCTGGAAAAAGAATATGCTTGTTTGAAAAAGAACCCTTATTCAATCTGTGTCATAGTTGTTCGGGCAGGATTTCTGCAATAGTGTCATGCAACAAGTAATTTTAAGAATGGAGAAAGAAAAAAGATATAACCTTCAGGGATCCCCTGCCCAATTAATCTCCCTTTTTGCCCCGTCTGCTCCAAAGCTTCAGTCATGGTCTTCAAAGGCGTTGAACCCAGAACCCTAACGACTTGACTGTTGAGGTCTACCTCTACACTTTTTACCCCTAGAGAAGATCCAATTGAATAACAACATTAGAAGATCAAACTAACAAACACACGGGGAAAAACAACCAAATATTTTCGATTGTAACGCAGATGTTCAGAAAAACTTACCCTCAAGAGTTTCTAACTTGTTCTTGACAGACTTAACACAACCGTTACATTTCATATCCACCATGTACTCTGTCTGCATACCAAACCAAAACCAAAAATTTATCTTCAGCAAAAATCAGCAAAACCCCTTAAAATTTTCATCACTAACAATTATTTACATCCTTAATTTAATAATAAATAATTCGAAGCATTGAAGCATCGTCTTTTTTTTTTTTTTTTTACAAGCTATATACGAGGAGGAGGAGGGGGATTCGAGCTTAAGTGTAGAGGGGAGCACGATGCTCTAACCAACTTGGCTAAGACCAGGTCTGCCAAAGCATTGAAACATCTATAAAATAGATAAATTTCGGATCAAAAGTAAATAAATTTCTGAATATTGAAACTTACCAGTAGCTCTGGCAACGCACCATCACTCTGCAATTCAAAACAAAAATAAAAATTAAAAAAAATATATCTGTAAAAAGCTCAAAACGATCAAACAAACAAAACCCATAAGAAAATCCAAATCAAATAAACAATCAGATTACAACCCATTAATGTTTTTGAGAAAGGATTACAACCCATAAATAAAAACCCCACAGAATTAATCACGAAACAAGGAAGTCGATTAATTTCAACGAACCTGAAAGGATGGCTTTTGCTCCGATGCGGGCGCGTCCATCTGGGTAGCCGAAGGCGAGTGGGCGAAGCTTGTAGCGAGGAACGGAGGGTTTGGGTTGAGCAGTGACGGCGCGGAGGACAGAAAGGCTCTGTTTTGGGGTTTTGGGAATCGAAATCGAAAAGATAAAAAGGAGGAGGAGGAGGACGGAGAGAGGGAAGAAAGGGCAACGGCGGCAGGAAATGCAAAGGCAGCTGCTATGGCAGTAGTCGTAGCCACTGACCTCAGAAATGCCATTTTTATTCTTTATTTTTGCATTTGGGTTTTTGGGGTTGGTAAACTTTAAACCTTAGGGTGCAGTGGATTTGGATTTCATAGCATTTTAATGAACGTTTTTTAAGTGATAGATTTCAAAGAATTTTAATAGATTCTACAATACGTAGTCAAATCAGTATTTTAAAAGAGGATTTTAAAGGAGTTTGAAATCATAGGGTAATCAAATTAGGATTTTAAAGAATTTTAAAGAATACATCTAAATTCATGGATAGTCAATTACGTTTTAAAAAAAATCCACCAAATTCATGGTATATTGAAAATACCAAAGATTTATTAGGATTTTAATAAATGATGAATTTGGATGGATTTGAGGGTGGGTGGTATAAATACTATATACCATCAAGAATCCAACTCTAACCCCTCTGATTTCTTTTCACGTTCATCATGTAGAAGAGGAACAATCTTCCTTTCTCAGACAGAAGAACAGTCTTCCTCCATTCCTCAAGGTATTGTCCTTCTCTTCCGAATTTGTATAAGGACTCATTATTTTCATGGTTTTTATATATAGTTGTTCTTAGCACGTAGGCACAGTACGTATTTGTACTCAGTCTTGCCGGTAATCTCAAAAAAAACCCCTCTTTCCCTTTCATGTGTTTTGTTTTGTTCTTATAATTTTGTTTTATAATGCCGACTGCATGTGATTCCAATCTCCAAACTTCCCCCACCAACCCAGAAGGTCTGCTATCTATTTCTTTGTTGCTATTTTGTTTTTTTGCTTTTTTTTGTTATTATTTTATTTATTACAATATTTTTTGGAATAAAGATGAATTGAATCGGACGTGGAGCAATTCCCGAGCTCCACCGATTGCTCCCTTACTTCCCTCATTGTGTTTAGTTCTTAATCAGTATTTAGTTCTCTATTGTCACTAGCTTCACTGGTGAATTATATTCCTCTAATTCATTAACTGAATGTGTGAACCTTAGACCGCGAAGTAAACTTTCTGGTATTTGAATTTTATTAAGATTCAAGCTTTCTCTGTACTTGCTCTTCTTTCACTTGATTTTGGCTTCATTTCGTTTTCACTCTACATTATTTCCTGTTCTTGTTCTTCTGCACGAAGTACAAACTTCTTTATGATTTTATTTATTTGGTTGGTTAGTTGATATATAATGTGTCAATCAAGCATGGAAGTGGAAGATGAGGAAGAAATGGTGGACGAAAAGGAGGAAGAAATGGAAGTGGAGCAAATGGTGGAAGAGGAGTGCAGATCAAACGAATTTCCTATTAAACCAAATGATGAATCTTCTTCGTCACAACCATTGTTAGTTTTAGAAGAGGATCTTGACCAAGATTTTCAAACAAAAGAACAACAACGGAATATTGCTAATGAATGGAGATATATAACATAGCTTTGGACATGTGGAGAGATGCGTAGAATGGTAACAATGTGAATGGAGGATATAATGTGTCACATCCTAGTCCGAGCCCCCACCACATCCCGGGCTCAACTTCACCGTAGCATGATATTGTCCGCTTTGGGCCCCGACCACGCCCTCACAATTTTGTTTCTGAGAACTCAAATGAGAACTTTCCGATGGGTCACCCATCATGGGAATGCTCTTGCGCGAACTCGCTTAACTTCGGAGTTCCGATGCAACTCGAAGCTATTGAGCTCCTAAAAAGCCTCGTGCTATGTAGAGATGGGAATATACATATAAGGCTTACAAGATCCACTCCCTTGTGCGATGTGGAATGTCACAATCCACCCCCCCTTAGGGGCCCGACGTTCTCATTGGCACACATCCGGTCAGGGATTGGTTCTGATACCAAATTGTCACATCCCGGCCTGGGCCCCCACCACATCCCGTGCTCGACTCCACCGTAGCACGATATTATCTGCTTTGGACCCCAACCACGCCCTCACGATATTATCCGCTTTGGACCCCGACCACGCCCTCATGGTTTTGTTTCTAGGAACTCACATGAGAACTTCCCAATGAGTCACCCATCATGAGATTGTTCTCGCACAAACTCGCTTAACTTCGGAGTTCCGATGGAACCCGAAGCTAGTGAGCTCCCAAAAGACCTCGTGCTAGGTAGATATGGGAATATACATACAAGGCTTACAGGATCCACTCCCCTAGGCGATGTGGGATGTCATAATCCACCTCCTTAAGGGCCCGGCCAAGGATTGGCTCTGATACCAAATTGTCACATCTCGGTTTGGGCCCCCACCACATCCCGGGCTCGACTCCACCGTAGCACGATATTATCCGCTTTGGGCCCCGACCACGCCCTCACGGTTTTGTTTCTGGGAACTCACACGAGAACTTCCTAGTGAGTCACCCATCATGGGATTGCTCTCGTGCAAACTCGCTTAACTTCGGAGTTCCGATAAAACCTGAAGCTAGTGAGCTCCCAAAAGGCCTCGTGCTAGGTAGAGATGAGAATATACATATAAGGCTTACATGATCCACTCTCCTGGACGATGTAGGATGTCACATAATGAGTTGTCAATAATGCTAGTATTCTAATTTTTAGGAGCACCATATGAAGGTCGAGGGAGCAAAATGCGTGTTAAAGCAACATTATTATCTTGTTTATCTTGAAACCATCTATTATCTTCTTCAATTTTGATTTATGTGTGTTTTATGTACTTGTATTAGCTTTGACTATAAGATATGTAATTGAAATCATCCATCTTTGTTTTGGTTAGTTAATTTTCTTTTAAAAAATTACAATTCAAATGAGAAAGGGAAACACATAATAAATCCTAAGGATCCATTTTATGCTATAAGATTCAACTAACAAATCCTAAGAAATCCATGAAAGAAATCTATACAAATCCATATCCATATAAATTTGTCAAAATCTATATATTCTAAACTTTTGGGATTTGGATTTCTATTAATTTGTTTACATCATCAATCTCAATTTTTTCTGGTCAAAAAATTTGTGGGTAATTTTGGGTTTTTATAATTACCAGTCATCTTCTTCCTTTCACCTGCTTGCTTGCTTGTTTGTTGTTTCATCTATCACAAAACAAATTAGGGAAAATAATTGGGTGTAATTTGTTGATTGGTTATGGAAGATCCTCTTGGACAAACCCACATGTTTTTTAAAATATTTGGATTTACTTGCTTTTTGAAAGAAATAACAAATTAGCTGAGATATGGGTAAAAGACAAGACATCCGAACACCTTCTATCTTAGGAGTTTTGAATCACAACAAAACAGATCTAACTAGAGACCACTTGAAATCTATCTAGTACAACCTCAGTTCACAATAATTCTAGAAAGTGTGTTGTGTCACGCTGTGTCTCCAACTTAATCACTTAGGTCATCTCATTTAGAGAGGTTAAAGGTCTAAAAACTAAAAAATGGTCTAATTTCTCGAAAAACTCATATCCAATTGATGGCCGGACTATAATTTTATAGAGATCACTAGACTATTACTTGACCAAAAGTGCATCAGGCTACCAAATGTAGCCCTTCTCTTTGCCCCTTTTTTGTGGCCTAACTCCACAGTTGCAATAATTTATTCAAATTCAAAAAAATAGATTTGAAAATATCCAATGGTGATTAATTAATTAACTAATAAATTCAAAATATAAAATTAAAACTAATAAATTATTAAGGAAGCTATGTTTAGCACATTCGGTTGTATATGATATATGAATATAGTCTGAGATTGGTCATTTAAAAATAATTTTTTGTAATACTATAATTCTAAACAGGACTATGTTTAACCCTTTCAATTAAAAATGATCTTAGATTTATTTTGTAAGAAATATATGGTATACGCCCCAACTAAGAGTTGTGCCAATGTACTTCTGTGATTATAGTTTTACTACTTCAATGTAGAATGTGCTTTCGCATTCTTATTGACTTGTATCGAGTCAACTTATACCAAAAAGAAAAGGTTCTATCTCGTTCTTTTTATCCGATATGTATATTTGCAAGTCAAATATTGCGATAGGGAACTGTCATAAGTACTTTAAAATTTTCATTTTACACTTTTTACAAGTGTATTTTTCTTTCTAATTATAGAAAATATAGAGTGCAAAATAAAATTTTTAGAGTGCAAATAACAATTTTCTTACAAAAACCACTAATATTTTAGTCAAAAAACGTACAAAATACAAGGGTCTCTTCTAGCCACTAGCCACAAAAGACTCGGTTCGCTAAACATATAGCAGATTTGGATAAATCAAGCACCGTTGCAAAACCCAGTAGAATATATCTGAATAGCGTACAAATACAGAGCTTTCTCTAGTCACCGGCCCCAGAAGAGTGTTCGTTAAAAACAAAATTAAAACTGCAAGTTCTTGACACCAAAACGACTAACTCTGAAAGTAAGCTAATTATAAGTCCAATACCATGTGGTGAAATGAAAGCAACAATAGTGATTTCATGCAAAATCTAATACTGGTAAAATTCGGAAAATTTCTGGCACAAGTATTCAATTCGTTCGGACCTGTTTACTATTAAACTCTGACCAAGATAAAAAAAAATTCTTCTATCGCCGCGGCCCCCTCTTCCTTTATTGAAGTAAGTGCAAATGGTCTGATTCAAGATTTCCTAAGAATCAACTTAGTGAAATCTCATACTTCGTGTATCCCCAAAAAGGATTCTTATTCTACCCAGACCAAAGCAAGATTTAATTTTACTCAAGACTTAAAAGAGCACAGCTATAGGGCTAGTCACCTTATACTTATCAGAAACCCATCTCAAATATCCCTGACCAAATGATACACCTTCCTTCCCTGCACCCTTTTGTGCCGTGAACTTCACACGGTACGTAATGATCTGGTTGGCCTTCAGGAATCTAAGCTCCGGTGGACTGACATCCACATTCATCTTTTGTGGTGCTAAAATTTCCAGCTTGTAAGTCGAATTAGCCGGCCCGACATTCTTCACTGTCCTTGTGTAAAGTTGAGACCGAGTCTTGTTATTGGAACCTACTATGAGAGAAAATGTAGGGTAATTTAACTGTGCTTCTGATATGGATCCTACTTCTGAGCATTTTACTTTTTGTTGGGTGATGATCTGTATCTGTTTCTCTGTGTATTTCAAACCGCACAAGT